CTCCCCACCCCGGGCCCTCCACCGAGCCGAAGGCGCTGGGCTGGGTCCGGTGCTGCGGGCCGTTCACCGGGACGTTGGGAAAGCCGCCTTCGCCCAGCCCGGGTTGCCTGCACTGTGAAACGGCGCCGTGGCAATCCCTGCTTCGTAGACTTGCAGGACCAAGTGGCCGACACGCACGCAACGTTTAAGTCAGCCGCTGACCGGGGCGGACGCGCAATAAATGTCAGCTGTTCGTAGCCCCGAAGCACGTTCTGTCGGTTCTCCGGCGTGCTCCAGCTCCGCGCTCAAGCGCGTCTTTCTAATGACCCTCATAACATCACTCCTGCTCGCCAACACACCTCTTCCAAACTCTAGCTCAGAGCTTCCCTGAAGGCAGACCAAGCTTGCTTGGGTGTTTTGTTTGTTTGTTTGAGAAGTTTTTGCTATAGGGCGTGTGCGCTTGCCAGAAAGAGAGAGACAGAGAGATAAAAAGTGAGAAATCACCCCCCCACACACACACCCCCCACCCCTGAGGACTCCGAGGCCACAATCCCTTCTCCTCTTCCATTCTCCTCTCCCGGATCTGGGCACGCACGCACATGCACCCAGCATGAGTTTTAAGCCACCAGGTTCAGGACGCGATCCGCGGTCGACTACGTGGGAGTCCAGCAACATAGCCATTACGCTAACTGCTGGTTCCCAGATGACATTTTAATTATTGCTAGGATGGAGGAATGAATATAGCATTTTGGAAGCACAGAGAAAGAGATAAGTAGGTTGATTTTTGGAAAATAATTCTGATTCTATTGTTATTTTTGGGAAATTAAAGCATTTGTGGCAGAATGATCTTGTGCAAAGGCTAGGAAGTAGGGAAAAGAAGGATTATAAAAGGAAAAAAAATATGAGTGAGTTTAAGCTGCCCAGTCTGGGACTCAAACCACGTTTGACCACATGGAAGTCCAGCAATATGCCATTATGCCATCTGTTGTTCCCAGTTCTTCTTCTTTTATTTTTATTTATTTATTTTTTTTTGAGAGGTTTTTGCTATAGGGCACGTGCTCTCGCCAGACAGACAGAGAGAGACATAGAGACAGAAAGCGAGAAATCACCCCCCAGGGAGGATGGTCACGCCACAATCCCTTCTCCTCCATTCTCCTCTCGGGATCTTGGGCACGCACGCACATGTGCCTGGCGTGCGTTTAAGCCACCGGGTCCAAGACTCAAACCGCAGTCGACTACGTAGGAGTCCAGCGACATAAACATTACGCTAACTACTGGTCCCTTCTTTTATTTATTTTTTTTAAAGTTTATTTATTTCTCCCCATGACAGAGAACACGAGTCGATGCCCTGGACAGGGTCTTATCTTAACTCTGCCGTCTCTCCGCACCTTCGGCCCGCCCTTACCATGGACACATGTGCACCCTGCTCCTCAGGGAGGTCTCCAGACATGAACCAGTAACCTCCCCACATGGGCCTGCCTCACAGAGGATTTGCTGCACCCCTCCCCAGCTCCACACCTAGCTTTTTACATTTTATTTATTTTTAAAATTTGCCACAGGGCGTGTGCAGCCGCCAGAGAGAGAGGAAAAAAAGAGAGAGAAAAATCCCTCTTCCCCATTCTCTTGGGATTTGGGGCACACGCGCACGCACACACACGTGTCCACATGTTTTTAAGCTGCAAGGTCAGGGCCTTGAAGCGCGGTCAGCCATGCAGGATCCGGCCGCCTTGCCTTCCCCACACACACCGCCTGGCCCGCAGCTGGCTCTTGTTTTCCCAGGGTCTTGCTTTGCTGTCCAGGCCGGCCTCTGGGGTTGGGGTCGCTGCGATCCCAGGTTCACACCACCCATGGCTGACTGGAGGTGGCCCTGGGCCTCCTGTGTGGTCCCAGCCTGTGGGGCACAGTAGCCTGGCAGCGTGTGCCATGTTGGCTGGGCCCACGCTGGGCACAGCTGCGCGCCCCTCCGAAATGTCGTGAAAGGGAGAACTGAAACCGTATCCCATCAGTTCCAGAGAGACTTCCACAGCATCACTTCCCTCCGACACTGGAGAGAGAGCGCAGTCTCAGAGCAAAGGCTGGCCCCACCTGGCCTCGCTCGCGGGACGGGGCACGGAGAAGGAGCAAGCGGGCACCGCGACCTGCCCACACGTCCTAGTATGGTGTGGTGAGCTGCAGTCTCATGAAGCAGTACCTGCATGTCCTGTGTGGGTGTACACTGGTCCACTGCCCATGTCCCGTGTGGGTGCACACTGGTCCACTGCCCATGTCCCGTGTGGGTGCACACTGGTCCACTGCCCATGTCCTGTGTGGGTGTGTGCTGGTCCACTGCCCATGTCCTGTGTGGGTGCGCATGGTCCACTGTCCATGTCCTGTGTGGGTGCGCGCTGGTCCACAGCCCATGTCCTGTGTGGGCGCGCTGGTCCACTGCCCCTGTCCTGTGTGAGCGCGCTGGTCCACTGCCCATGTCCTGCGTGGGTGCACACTGGTCCACTGCCCATGTCCTGCGTGGGTGCACACTGGTCCACTGCCCATGTCCTGCGTGGGTGCACACTGGTCCACTGCCCATGTCCTGCGTGGGTGCACACTGGTCCACTGCCCATGTCCTGCGTGGGTGCACACTGGTCCACTGCCCATGTCCTGCGTGGGTGCACACTGGTCCACTGCCCATGTCCTGCGTGGGTGCACACTGGTCCACTGCCCATGTCCTGCGTGGGTGCACACTGGTCCACTGCCCATGTCCTGCGTGGGTGCACACTGGTCCACTGCCCATGTCCTGCGTGGGTGCACACTGGTCCACTGCCCATGTCCTGCGTGGGTGCACACTGGTCCACTGCCCATGTCCTGCGTGGGTGCACACTGGTCCACTGCCCATGTCCTGCGTGGGTGCACACTGGTCCACTGCCCATGTCCTGCGTGGGTGCACACTGGTCCACTGCCCATGTCCTGCGTGGGTGCACACTGGTCCACTGCCCATGTCCTGCGTGGGTGCACACTGGTCCACTGCCCATGTCCTGCGTGGGTGCACACTGGTCCACTGCCCATGTCCTGCGTGGGTGCACACTGGTCCACTGCCCATGTCCTGCGTGGGTGCACACTGGTCCACTGCCCATGTCCTGCGTGGGTGCACACTGGTCCACTGCCCATGTCCTGCGTGGGTGCACACTGGTCCACTGCCCATGTCCTGCGTGGGTGCACACTGGTCCACTGCCCATGTCCTGCGTGGGTGCACACTGGTCCACTGCCCATGTCCTGCGTGGGTGCACACTGGTCCACTGCCCATGTCCTGCGTGGGTGCACACTGGTCCACTGCCCATGTCCTGCGTGGGTGCACACTGGTCCACTGCCCATGTCCTGCGTGGGTGCACACTGGTCCACTGCCCATGTCCTGCGTGGGTGCACACTGGTCCACTGCCCATGTCCTGCGTGGGTGCACACTGGTCCACTGCCCATGTCCTGCGTGGGTGCACACTGGTCCACTGCCCATGTCCTGCGTGGGTGCACACTGGTCCACTGCCCATGTCCTGCGTGGGTGCACACTGGTCCACTGCCC